GGGCAGCCTGGGCCAGGGCTCAGGCACCCTCCAAGTCAAGAAGTTCTTCCTCACGTTCAACTGGAACCTCTTGTGCTTCAGTTTGTGCCCATTGCCCCTTGTCCTGGTGCTGGGCACCACTGAGAAGAGTCTGGCTCCGTCCTCGTGACATCCACCCTTAAGTTATTTGTACATATTGATGAGATCCACTCTCAGTCTTCTCCAAGCTGAACAAGCCCAGCTCCCTCAGACTTTCCTCATAGGGGAGATGCTCCAGTCCCCTCATCACCTTTGTTGCCCTCCTCTGGACTCTCTCTAGGAGTTACTCATCTTTCTTGAGCTGGGGAGCCCAGAACTGGATGCAGTGCTCCAGATTGGGTCTCACTGGGGCAGAGTAGAGAGGCAGGAGAACCTCCCCTGCCCTCCTGGCCACGTTCCTCTTGATGTGCCCCAGGATGTCATTGGCCTTCTTGGCTACCAGGGCATGCTGCTGGCTCATGGCTCAATCTCCAGCTCTGCGCAGCTTCCAGGAGGAGCATGGAGATGTGGGGAGAGCAGCATTAGGCAAAAGCTGCAGTTCCTTGTCCTGAATGTCTTTGCTATATGACTGAAGCTGTTCACATGGAGGATCTGTGAAGGCATGCATTTTGGTCTCCAGGTAAAGGTGGGATTGGGGACCAGGAGCCAGTGCTCTGGGTCTGGAGATCCCACCTGAGGACTGGGACCAAGAGCCCACAACCCTTCTGCTCCAAGTACCCATCCACCACGCCCCTTCAGCTGGTCCCCGCCAGCCGGGACACGTTCCTGTCCCATTGCAGTCCTGGCTATCAGTTGCTCTGCAAATGCCTAGAGTAGCTTTGCAGCAAGGCTATGCCTTCTTAAAAAAAAAATAATAATCTGGGGGTAGAAATAAGTTGGTACATGAGCAATATCGGCACAGAGAGGTGCAGGAGCCCTCAGGGCATGTTTCTGCCGCATCCCTGCCTCTTCCCTGGGTGGGGACCTGCCACAGTGCTCTTGTCCACGTTCATTCCCTGTGCCATGAGTCCCTGAGCACGGTGGGGAGGTCAGATCTTTAATTTCGGCTTTGGGAAGAGAGTATCTCTAACCCAAAGGAGGGGATTGTACATCCAGGGTTTAGGCACTAGAGGGAGGGATGCCTGCATGCATCAGTGGCTTTCCAGGCAGAGCCAGCAGTGTTTGGGGGGTGTATATATATTTTTTTTGTTACTCACCAATAATATGCTTCACACCCTTTTTGTAATAAAGCTTAGAACTTTATTTTTCCCCCAAATAACAGGATGTACATGTGACGGTTGGTCTCTGGGAGAACAGTGGCGAAGCTGAAAATACACAAATAGCTTCTTAATTTGGGGTGCAACAAGGTATTGCCAAGTGAGAAGGCAAAGGCTGCCGGCGTTTCTTGCCTCATCAAAAAATGAAGGACCGGCGGTGCTCCCCATGCCAAAGCCCCCAAGAAACCTTCTCCACCCCCAAACCAGACATGAACGCAGGTTCGTGGGGGAGCAGATCTTGGTAATATTTAGGGGTTAAACAGTCGAATCGGTTGTGCTGGGTACCTGAATCACAGTGATGGTGCCTAATGTCTTTTAAGGATTTGAGTCCAGGCCAGTTACAGGTTTTATCCTCCATCTCTGCCCAGTTTAACCAGTAAGACAGAAAGCTATGTTGGCTGCCTTACACAAGCACGGTGACCTGCAAGAACAGAATTGCACAGAAATGGCCAATTCCTGTTTGTGTGAAGCTTTATTGAGTTGGAAAACTTTGCAGCATGTTCTTGAACCTCCTCTGCTGCCCTTGTGTTAACCGATGGCCTGTTAGTATCCCAGCATCTACCAGTTCTGCTGACATGGTCCAGCGAGGAAAGGGAGAGGACGGAAAGCCTGAGGTGAAAAGTAACAAGTTCCCAGGCACGAGAAAGGTCTGAAAATTGTGAAAACTTCCCATCTTGCAGATTTAGCCAAAGCACATACATTCTTCCAAATAATTTTCCTTTATTCCCATACAATCGGGAAAACAGCAAGATGAAAAGTAGCTTTGCTGCTTGGAAGACTTTGCTTCTCCCAGGCTTGGCTGTGTTGGCAAGGAAGGATGTAGAGTTGAGGCAGAAAAGAGCAAGTGAGGATGAGAAGTAGGGAAGTGCTACAAGTTTCCTCCACGGCAAGTCCCGGGAGCTGTGAATTAGCTGGTATAATGCACAATCCTTGTTATTACAGACAAATGGGGAGAATTTTCCCCCAATTTTCCTCTAGAAATGGAGCACAATTTTTTGCAATTTGGCCAACTTTTTCCCCCAATTTTCCATTGACCCAGGATGCTGCCTTGTGATCCTCCATCAGCCTGATAGCAGTGTGTACATCTGCAGTTAATGACTCCAAATTGCACGGTGCGAGGCAGCTGCCATCCATTTACTCAGCTAAAAATGCCTTCAGAAAGCAAACAGCCCCCTCCACGCCACGATGCCGATGGCCAAACCCAAGCATGTCCAAACAAGCCTCTTGACAGGTAAATCGCTCAGGATTACTCCAAATGTCATTGCTAACAGCTCCTGGGCCTGGGGTATTTATTTCCTAATCAAAATAAGAGAAGAGAAAATGTGCTCTGGCTGGTTTTAAAAGCAAGCCAAACTTTAAATAAAGCTTTAATGGTGTAATTGCTAATTGATGATGAGCACAGAGGACTGGGAAAGCCAGACTTCTGGCCACTTGTAAAATACGCTTCTTCACATTGGAGAAAATGAGGATTATTTTTTTTCCCAAGGTTTTATTTATTTTAGACTTCTGTCATAAAGGAGAGAAATAATGTGGGGGTGTGGAGCTTGTTGGTATTCTCGGGGTGAAATCTCACCGCTGGGCACTGGTGACCAGGCCATGCTTACGCAGTTGGAAGCATCTCTTCAAGCTTGATCCTTATAAAAATGAAAAATCACTGGAAGAGGATTTTGGACCCTTCCTTCCCAACTGTGGGCTGTAACCACAGGGCTGGCAGCTTTTGGGGAGCTTCCTTTCCAGCTCTGACTTGCAGCCTAACATCAGCTCCCAGGTCTTTTTTCCTGAACTGAGATTTCTGTGCCCTTGCAAAAAGCTTGATTTCAAGGAAGTGACCTTTTCCATAAAATTTTCAGCCAAAAAAGCCTTTCCCCTGAAGCCCCTGGACTTAGCAGACATTGCTGGGGGAAGCAATGGACACCTGAAGCTAGGGGACCACAGGGCCGTGCTTTGCCCACCATGCTGTCCCCACTACCTCCATCCAGCTCTACGGGCGCCCTATGTGGTACAGGGGCTCTGGGTGCTTCTGCTGTGCACAGGGACCACATTGCAGCCCCAGGGTCCACAAGAGAGGCATCAGCCCAGGGTGCGGGTGAGTGACACCGGGCTGCCAGCACCTCAGTGGCCCCCAGACAGAGCACGGTCTGTTCTCAGTGCTGGGACCAGTTCCCTGTGCCAGGGAGTCCATAGCTGACCTTGGCTTGGTGGAGATAGATTAATGTAATAGAATCACAGAATGTTTTGTGTTGGAAGGGACCCCTAGAGGTCACCCAGCCCAACCCCCCTGCAGGGAGCAAGGATACCGCTAACCAGATCAGGCTGCTCACAGCCCCCTCCAACCTGGCCTGGAATGGTCCCAGGGATGGGGCCTCCACCCCCTCTCTGGGCAACCCCTGCCAGGGTTTCACCACCCTCACTGTAAAGAATTTCTTCCTTAGATCCAGTCTAAACCTACCCTGGTTCAGTTTAAAACCATCACCCCTTGTCCTGTCACAGCTGGCCCTGCTAAAAAGATGTTCCCCGTCTTTCCTATAGGCCCTTTCCTATAGTACTTAAAAGTACAGAAAGGCTGCAAGTCTCCCCTCGCGGGGGGAGGGGGAAGAGGGGAAGCCAGGATGGATCCCACCCCCAGGAGCAAGGGCCTTTTCCAGGCACACTCAGATGGGAGGCACTACCCAACCCCAGCTCCCCACACGAGGGGGAGGAGAGAAGAAACAGCCGCACATCTCCCCTCACCCCTCTGGTTTGAAACGAAAGGATTTATTAAAAGCGTGTGTTATTTCTTCCCATCACCCATCTGTTAGCACTCGACACCCCGGTGTGGATTAGAGAGGGGCTGAGGGGGAACAGCAATAACCCATCTGCTGCAAAAAAACACAGGGCTGCACCGAGGGGGGTACACAGGGTGGGGGAGGGAGCTGGGATCCTGGCAGGGGGCAACTGGGGGTGACTTTAGGGGTAGAAGAAGGGCTTGAGGGGATCTTTGGGGGGCTGCAAGAAGGATGAGGTAGGGCTGCCAGAGGGAAGAAGAAGTTTGGCACCAGGGGTTGGACAGTGGGAGCCATCAGCATAACAGCTTCATTGGCTGGGGGCCGGGAGCAGGGGGGGCACTGCCCAGGGGCGCCAGCTCTTTGGTGGTCCTCTTCCTGCCCCTCCAGGCGAGAGCGGCCAAAGGATGCTCTGAGGGTGGAAAGAGGAGAGAAGCAGATGAGGCAACTCCTGGGTAAAAGCAGCACACCCACATCCCCTCCTGACAGAGAGCTGGGCCCTGCCAGCTCCCTCCTCCTTCCCACCCCTCTCCAGCCACGCGCTGCCCTTCCCCAAGGCTGTGGCTGCAGCCAGGAAGCAGCAAACCCCAAACAGCACCTTCCACCAGCACCAAACTTCCCCAGTCCAGGGATTTTTTCCCCCCCACCTTGGACTGTTTGCTGCCTGCCCTGAGGCAGGGATCACTCCCGCAGCCCATCGTGCTGTGGGGAGAGGGGTTGGCCAGAGTACGGAGCAGGGCAGGGCTCACCTGGGATGCGGGAGAGCTGCGCAGATCTCTGGCTGCTGCTCGGAAGTTGGGCAGTGCTGTGAGAGAGAAAGGGGCCGTTTTAAACCCCTGAGGCTCCGGGCAGAGGCCCCCCTTCATCCCCAGATGTCACCAGTGAGGTGGAGCCAAGAGGGGAGCACAGGCAGGAGCTGCCACCTGCACGGAGCACGCTGGGGCACGGGGTGTCAATGGCTGTCTCACCTCTCCACTCGCCTCCGCTTCCACGCAGATGCTTTGGAGACAGAGGAGGGCTTGGGGATGGAGGAACCCCTCATGGCAAACCCCGGCACACAGGCTCTGCAGCCAAGGAAAAGAGGGTTAGTGCCAGGGCTGCCCTCACAAGGCTTGGAGGCAACCAGGCCAACGCCGTCCCCCCTGCAGGGAACAGAAGTCACAGGAAACCTGCCTGGTTGTGTAGGGGAAAATGATTCCAACAGGGTTAAAACCTCAGATGGGCACAGGAGGCAGCAGCTGCCTGGGTACTGCTGCTCCCCAAGGTGGTCAGGCCGTTCCCCTGTACCTCAGTTTCCCCAGCTACCCTCTATAGGAACTATTTCCTCGAGCTATAGGAGGAGACAGGGAGACCTAAGGGTGTCCTGCATTACCAAGGGCACAAGGGTTTTTGGATGGTCACACAAACTCATGCCGCTCTGTAAAAGCCAGAGCCTCTTTGAAGTACCAGCAATTAAAAACCCAAACATAACTCACTGAAAAACCCCACACTGTGCAGTCCCGGCCCTCGCTCCAACCTCTCGGGGAGGAGAGGCGATGCCCCACCTGCTTCCCAACCAGCACTTGGGGCTCCAGAAGCCATCTGCAGGATCCTCCTCCATGTCCAAAGGGACATGGAGAAGGCGAGAGAAATGTTCTCGGGACGCTTTTTCTATCTTTGCAAGCGATTCACAAACAAGCTCAGCCTGCTGCCTGCCCGTCCGCAGGCCGAGGGTCTTCTGCCCAGGCTCCCCTCTTAGCAGAGCTGCAGCGATTTACAAAGGATTCACCCAGACAGCAAGACCACGGAGGGGGGATCCCCAAAACCATGGGTAACCCATCCAGCACTTACTTGGGCACGACGGGGCCATCCTGCTTGTTTAGGAGGCTCTGGACATTCTCCCAGGCAGGGAATTCAGGCAGGCTGAGGGCAGCTGGCTTGTCCACGTCGGGTGAACCGTTGTCCTTGCAGATCTCAAAAGTCACATTCAGGTCACTGATGGGCAGGGCAGACTGCCGTTTTGGGGCGCAGCCATTTTGGGCAGCTGACATCACCAGGGGCACGCGGCTTTTGGTGACAGTCAGTGGGCAGATTTTGGGGGTGCAACATGATGGCATCAGGGAGATGGGGGGGCCTGGGCTGCTGCTTTGAGACAGGCGGTGCCTGGGCTCTGTGTCACCCTGGGAGTCTCCGCTGCTTTCCCACCTCTCCGCTTGCGTTTCACCCCTGTTTTGAGGCTGCGGGGAGTTCCCAGTTGGGAAGCGCTGTTCATCTCAGACCTACTCTTCTTCTTAATCGGGCTGGGAGCCATTGGCATGGGACAGGAGAGCGGAACGAGCTGCTGCAAGCATTGCAGGGTGGTGCTGGTCACAGGGGCACCAACCATGGCGACAGACACCTCTGCTGAAGGAGCAGAGAAGAAACAGTCACCTCCCTGCCTGCACTTCCCAGGCACCCCCCAAACCCCAGGGCATCCCCTTCCGCCCTCCATCACAGCTCAGCAGAGAGCTGCCCAGTGAGCCCTACAGCAGCCGTCTGCCAGCAGGAGTTTCCATCAAACTGCGTTAAACCCAGAGGAAAAAGAGCCAGCACAAATAATCCTGCGCCTGGCCAGCCTAAAGGCACCAGACTGGTCTCAAAGCAAGTGCTCGTGGCAATGCCCGGCCTGTCCCCGCAAAACAAGGTCTGCAGAGCCCACAGCTTTGCCGTCGGGTTTGTGCCTTGGCACTGAAGATGAGGAAGAAGAGCTCAGCCCTGGCCAGATGCAGGCTGCCAGCTGCGGGGCTACAGCCAGGATGACTTGGGCAAATGTACCATGGAGGAGTAAACAAGACAAGAAAAAAAATTAGAATCAGAACTGCTGCCTTGGTCTCCTGGAGCAGAAATATAACTCATGTTTAAGCTGACTTGCACACACATGAGGAGCTCCCCAGAGACCAGGGCTGCTCACAGTTCCTGCCGTGCCCCAGCCTGCCAGAGATGCTGGCTAGCCTGAAATGGTCTACAAAGCAAGGCTGGAGCCGCTCTCAGCATGCCCCGTTGGCCACCACGTCAGGAGAAAGTCATCTCTCTGCCCTGTGCCCACGGCTGCGAG